GCAGATACGTTCCTCTTTGTTCCTTTGATAGGCTTTCATTATGGATAACACTGCCAAGCCTCTAGATATAATCCTCGGGCCTGATGAGAGCCACTCACCTTTCGTCAAGAACAAAGCTTCAGTCTTTTGCCATGCAGCATTTTGGTCCTTTACGCACTGAGAAATACCCAGGTCTTTCAGGTTTTCCGTGTTAAGTCTGAAATATCCCCTTTCCCTGTCAAAGCTCGGCCCCGGGGCGAAGCGGACCAATAGTGGGTAATGATCAGACATGGGATGCATTTCCACTTCGACCGATAAGAGGGATTCCCAGGCTGCTGCCCTAACGAAAACCATGTCAATCCTGCGCTGGCTTATGCAACTTGTGATGACTGGGCCTGTGGTTGCAGGCCCCCGCCTCGCAGGATGCCAAGTAAAGCCGTGGTCATTAGGATGTGTTACTCAGTACGCATCCACCAATTCGGTTTTCTCTAAAAGGGACAGCAGGATCTTTGCATCAGTGCGGAGGGGTTTGGCACGTAAGGTATCTATGCCCGGGCTTAAGATTGTGTTCCAGTCACCGGTAAGAACCAAGTTTTCCACATCTGGGATAGCCTCGCCCAGATCTGCCAGAAAGCGCAAACGCTCTGATCTGTCTGAAAGGACATAAATGGACATCACAGCCCAAGATTCCCCTGCAATGGACCCTTTAATCCAAACCTAGCGGCCCCAATTATCGATACATTCATCAATCCATTCAAAATCCAAATCTCTGTGCACCAAAATGGTCGTGCCCCCTTTCGAGCCATCCGCTGGGGCCCAAAGTTGTGGGTCATCCCACCACCTGCCTAGTGCAGTAATCTTCTCAGAGCTCAATTTTGTTTCCTGCAGACATACAATCTGCACTCGCCTGGAGTGAATCCATGACTTCAGTCTTCCTTTCTTTTCCTTACCGTTGCTGTCCCCCAATCCCCTCACGTTCCATGAGGCTAGTGAAAATGCATTCATGGAGCGTGAGACTGGTCCTTATGTTTATGGATCAGACCAGCCCCCTTCGCTCCTGCGGGGGTTTTCCTCCTCCTACTTGCCTCAGATGATTCCCGCGGAGCAGCCCAGGGAGTGGTGAGGCTATCGCGAAAAAAAGGGGATGAGAGGTTCCTTCCTTTCAGCTTCAGGTTGCATTCCGCAACGAAGTCAACCAAAAGACCATCTTCCAAGTGAATCCCAGCTAGATTTGGATTATCCTTTCTATCAAACCACCTCCCCGGAACCCAAACGATCCCTTCATTTTCCAAAATTAGGAAGACATCTGGTGGGAGACGAAGGTCCACAAATGGGACATACAAACGGTGGCACACCCCAACCGGATGTTGTCGGACTGCCCTGCCCATCGTAACATTTGGCACCACCCGACAGGGAAACCTGTTCTGCAATAGACCCTTAACGCAATCCAAAATAAACTCATTGTTTGGCGGGGCGTCCGTAGAGAACGAAGCCAACCCCACACTTTTGTCGCCCATGTCAAACCCCATTACCAACGCACCTTGAGTGTCTGGGATGCAAATAATCGGCACAACTCTCTTAGGTGTCGCAGTAGATTCTTTGGGGATCGATGCCATTCCAGCTTTACTGCCCAGATCTAGTTCTTTTCCCTGATCTTGACTGAAACTCCACAACCTCTCAGACGCTGGCAGTATAGAGGAGGCAGAAGACTCCCCATCCGAAAAGCTAAAGGATCGTGATGATTTCTCCTCCGCCAGCCCATCAAGTTGTGTGCGCCTCTGTTTCGTAGGCAATTTACTCCCTCTAAGGGAGAGATGGTCCATAGAGGCCTATGCCTCCGTGATGCCTACTGCCCCCTGACTAACTGGGTCCTCTCCTGATGCCCACCCCTGTGACTGTTGGCTGAACCCTGCAGTATGCCTCCCCATACCTCCAGCGGACTGATTGGCAGTATTTCTTGTAAGACCAGGGGGACCTGGGGACTGACCTCCCTGAGGTGATGCAGGTCTTACTGCATGTGAGGGATCACTTACATTTGAACATAACCTCTTCTGAGATGGAGCAGGGGGTTGCGTCCCGACTGGGTTTGACGTGGCAACAGGTTGTGGACCTATAGGGGTATGTGAACCTAATGCACTGTTTGCCGCCTGCAAATTGAAGGACTGATGGCTCGCCAAGTTTGCTGATACCCCGGGAGGAGGAGGTTCCGACTCAAAAATTGGATTGGTTTTGAACAAGGGGAAGCCTCCCCCCCCGCAACCTCCAGTTGGGACAAAATTCCCAAAATTTTGGCTGGGCCATCCAGGTGCCTAACGCAGTCCCGAACCCTGGGGAAGACCAGGCGCTGACGTGCCCGGAGGTATTGGTGAAGTGCCAGTGAGGGGCTGTGGGGCCACAAATTGAGGGTCCTGAGAGGTTGGGCCCCCCAATGAGCCATTCGGCTGATTGCTATTATGATTATGCATAAGACCCTGATTTTGTGCAGGATAGACCGTTGATTGCGGTCCTGGACCAGGAACGAAGCCTGGAAGTGAGGGTTGGATGAATTGGTGTACAGGCTGGGCCCGAGAGGGCGCAGTAGAGGAGCGAGAAGGCCCAGGTGCATATTGACCTGAAGCACTCCCCCCCCCCCCTCCTGATCGCGATGGGGCGCCCTGTGTATGCATATAGTGTTTTGGGTGACGCGGACATGCCGTGCTGTCTTCTGTGTGGTAATACCACTTGCACTTTTTGCACCAGTCCGTCGCCTGGGAGACAAACTCCAATTTGAAGACTTCCCCGTCTTTCTCAAATTCAAGTTTCTCTTTCTAGGTTTTCCTTGCCTCAGGAGCAAGATCAAATTTCACGTTCATGAGGCGAGGGAAGTGGGCATCTTTCTGGGGTGGATACGTACGTTGGATTTTTGCCATAGATGTTTCCACCGCCCAGTGTAAATGGAACATAGCCCAAAGAGAGACTCTTATGGCCATCACCCAAAATTTTCCGGCGGCTTCCTGTGCATGCAAATCATCCAGTTCCTTCTTTGTAGGCCAAAGACGAAATTGAACCTGATACCTAATATCGGGACTCCGTGCAGAGTTAGGGTCCTTGAATACGATGATATCCGAGCCCTTTTGAACCATGAAATCAGCAATATCTTTCGTTGTCGCCACATAAGAAAACACACTAGCACCCTCAGATTTTACCCTACCCCTTTTCAACGACGGGTTAACAGTAGGGTTGGCAAACCATCCATCCTCATAAATGCGAATGAGCATTTCCTTAATCTTATTCGGCAAATCCCTAGCGTCCCCTTGAAAAATTACGACTACGGTCCTTTCCTTCAACCATTTTACTACCACATCGTCCAATTTGGGGTCAAGGGTGATCGTTGCCGTGCGTCCATCCATTACACAGGTTCCGTGATTCAACCCCTCTGGCAGAATCCCATCTTCGAAACATTTCTGAACCATCTCTCGAATCCTATCCTCCTCCGAACTGGCTGAAGGATCCATTGTCTACTTTCAAAGTAGAACTATGGCCGTGAATCGTAAAATTACCTTCTAACGTACCAGTGGAGGCGGGAAACGCAGGAAGGGGAGGGCGTCACTAATCGTTAAACACTGAGCAGAGTCCAACGCTACATGACAGGCCAATCAAAATGGGCATACATTCTCTAAATAGATAGACGACAGTTAAATACCCGAAACACTGAGAAACAACGAAGCTCAAGTTAATTGACCAAACAAGTATTTCAAGCCGCAGACCAGGTTATGAGAAGGATTTTACCGCAGGTGAAGGTCCGGGGTTGCCGCCACCAGTCGCTGTTCGTGCTCCACCTCGACGATGACCGCCGTCTTTGAAATTCGTCCCTTGGACTGGAGGCTAATTCGTCTCCATGTCCGTATAGGCGACCCTACCTCGAGTCCCTTGCTGCCACCCCCCTCACTAAGTGGGCTACCATTCTCCCAGACCGTATCCCCATCTTGATTTTTATCAACCACCACCCTACTCCTACCTCCACATAAAATGGGGGTTCAAGTCTCGTCCGGATTCACTCCGTCCCTTGCCACCCGAGGCACTCAAAACTACTGCAGATACGGTCCGCCCAGCGGTCTTGCCATCCCATGGCACTGCCATGAATTCTTTACTCCGTCAAGACACAAAATGTGTAGCCCTATTCCTTCGATATCTTTAGACGGGCGCCGAAGCGCTCGTCATTCACATGGATCACTTGATGTGAGAGTGACGCTACGGGACTCTCCGTTGACCGCCTAAACCTCCCAAGCTCCTGGCTATGGTTGGCGTCAACATGTTGACGCGAGGTGGTAGTCATCTCAACCCCTCCCTGTGAGCAAGAGGGAATGACTGCAGAGCGCCAGCGAAATTGCCGCTGGCGGCGCGCTGCGGAGCGCTACCATGCGCCCGTCACTGTGCACCGTCTTTTGTGCATTTCCGGAGTAGTGGAGCGACCGGGGCAAGGATTTTGCCGCCTCCTCTGGAGGTGACTGCAAATGGCCTTTTTTTTTTTTTTTTGCATTTTCTTCAAAAATTGGCAAAAATTCGTTCACAAAAGTTCTTGCACAATTTGTGGATGGCGCCGTGTGACCAGCCAAGTACCAAATCCCCATTTCTCCAGATGGCCGCGACCTTGTCCCATCTGAAAGGGTACAGCAGTGTGACGTGAACCATGCCCAAACCTCAAATCGGCCCTTCCCAAATCCGCATATTTTGCGGATTTGGGGTCCTGCAAGGTGAGTTTCAGACACAGAAGAAAGGAAAAAGGCTCGGAACTCGAAATGAGTGGGCTGCGAGATGGCACGCGACACGATGGTAATATAGTCTTGTCTGTGACGCACGTATTCCGGGAGGCCCTTGTGTAGCCTCACCGTCCAGCTGCCCACTTCCCCTCGAAGGCTATTTGAATCTGTCATCGCCATGGGAGCAAAGCAGAACGAGCAGGCTTTGTCGGCGTTCTAATCGTCAAAACTGGCCCTCTGAGGCGGTAATGTGAGCATTCTGGTCGTTGGAACTGGCGGCGTAAGCGTTCTTGTCGTACGACTGGAAGTGTGAGCTTCCCAGGTCAGCTTCTGGTCGTCAGGACTACTCAGTCGTGTGAGCGATCCCTATTTTTTTGGCCCGTTAGTATCTGCGGGTGGTCGTCCGAAGCGGTCGTCTGAGCTGGTCTTGTGGGCGTCCGGTCGTCCGAACCGGTGGTGGAAGCGCCGTGGTCGTCCGAGCGGGTGAGGTAAGTGTTCTGGTCGACGGACCTGGTCGTGCGAGCTTGTCGCGTGAGCGCTCTGGTCGTCAGAGCTGGTCGTGTGAGCGTTCTTGTCGTCACAACTGGTCGTCCGGTCGTCACAACTGGTCGTCTGAGCTGTGTGAGCTGGTCTGTGAGCTTTGTGGTTGGTCGTTCAGTAGTGGTCGTAGAAGTGTTCTGGTCGTTAGAACTGGTCAGGCAACCGTTCTGGTCGTGCGAGCTTGTCGCGTGAGCGTAGCACAACGCGCCCTCATCACTGTACACAACCGGGAAAATAGCTTGTATACGCTGGGCGTGTTGCGGTCGGCGGAATGCAATTGTGGCCCCAGCGCTGCGCCAGCGCGCTGGCGCAAGTTAACACGTGGGGATAGCATCGTGCCACGGCATCCAGAGATGGCGCTGGGCCACGTGGCAATGCCGGGTGCAGAAAACGAGCACGTGACGGTGATGGTTTTTCGTTGGCGTCATCGCTTTGCTTACAACTCTGCTTGTTGTGTCCGAGATCAGTCTGTGATTGGGAATGGGCGTACGATAATTGGAAGGAATAAAAAAGAGAAAGAAGCCCCAGTCCCTATTTAGAAAAAAAAAAAAAAAAAAAAGGAAACGATCCGGACTACGACGCACGTTTGGGCAGTGGTTGAATGTCTTCATTACCACTCCTCTTCATATTTCTTTTGTCGTTTCGAATAATAGATAATGCTCCAATTTTTTTTTCTTTATTATATTATTATTATTATTATTATTATTATTACTTTTAATGCTCCAATTTGTTGGTGGGTGAACGCTTTGCAAAAAGAAATAAATACCATCCATCACCAAATCACGTGACAATATATGATGATTTTTCTTTTCTTTTCTTTTCTTTTCTTTTCTTTTGACAACGTATTAAAGAGGAGAAGGCTGGTAGCATTACCGGGAAGAAATCAATGCTACCGTCTTCACCCGAATAGAACGCCCAGTCATTAACGTTTATATCTGGACTGAAAAAATATAGCTAAAAAAATATAGCTAGAATGATAGAGCGTTCTATTCGGGTGAGCACTTACAAACTAGGTAGCCATTTCTCTACTCATGCGTGTCATCCTTGTTAGTTTGTAGCCATTTCTCTACTCATGCGTGTCATCCTTGTGCAAGGGACATGCTATCCTCCACCTCCTTAGGGAAAAAAAAAAGATCAGACCAGTTCTCGATTTGTACATTTCATCCATGCGCAGGGGCGGTGCGCACACACACACACACACACACAGAGAGAGAGAGAGAGAGAGAGAGAGAGAGAGAGAGAGAGAGAGAGAGAGAGAGAGAGAGAGAGAGA